CAAAAACAGCTGGGATGTAATTGTATGGCAAAATGTTCTGGACTCAATGAAATGATGAAGCAAAAGTATGAGTGCAACAGATATGCCACTCTGCAAAATGCAGACTAGAAAGGTGTGTTCCTGTTTCCAAACCATTTCCTAGGTGTAGGCTGGCTAACTGAAGAAGAAAAGCTGTGTCAGATTAAAAGCCCTATGAACATGTTTTGTACATATTTTCCAAAAGCTATCTCCTTGCCTTTTGAATAAAAAAGAACAGTGGGTTGAGAATTAGCAAAGATTGTCAATGAAATGAAGATCAAAATCATCCATATTATGTGAAAGAAAGATAAGGTCAAAAATCAATGAAACTGAAATGTGGTGTTGAAAGAGACATTTAAAGATATCACAGCTAGCCAGAAAGGCTCATAAGTGGGTGCTCAATCAAGTCATGCCTGAACTCTCACTAGAGCAAAGATTAGTAAACTGAGGCTATCCTACCATGCATATATAAACAGAACACAGGACAGACCAAAAGAGAGAGAGAGAGAGAGAGAAGAGAGACACTTTTGCTGGGAAAAGTGGAGAAGCAGTAGAAAGAAAGGAAGACCTAACATGAGTCAAATTGTCTCAATAAAAGAAGCCACAGCTTTTAGTTTGCAGGACCTGATTAGAACTTACTGGAAAAGACAATATTACTAGGGGGAGCGGCAGGAGGGTGAAAAAGCAACCTTACATGAGATGGTAGGGGTCTGCAAGATCTCAGCAGAGCTGTTGATGAGATGATATTTTGGAGGTCATTAACTCATATAGTCACCACATATCAGAAGTGAGGTGATGGTACATAATATCTTTGGAAGAGTGTTTTCAATTGCCAAAAATGTATAGTGACAAGACAGGTGGAATAGTTGAGACAATGACAGGATACTGGTACCAAACCTTTGCTAACATCAAGTAAGACTATCCCCAGCCGCAAAGCAAAAAACCGAAAAACAAAACCAACCCTCAGTAATTTCACAGTTTAAATTAGTGAGCTTCTGAATATTTCTTCTCTATTGTTTTTTAAAAAAATACCTTTTAAAATGTTGTTACAGTCAGACATAAAATACCTTTGTAAGCTTAAAACCCTCTTTGGGCAGGAAGAAAATTCAATTGGGTCCTGATTCAGATTGCCCTAGACCTGGGGCTGATTTTCCCTTTGAAGATGGGTGTCAAGAGCCTGGTTTCAGAAATCCTGAGAAAATGTTTACTGAAAGCACTGAGGGCTGGGACAAACACAACTGCTCTGTGCTTCTGTAATGCAAAAGTACTCTGTATATGCCTTATAAATTTGTATGCTAATTCTCTGGAAATACACTCCATTACTTTATTACTTTATTACTTTATTACTTTATTACTTTATTACTTTATTACTTTATTACTTTATTACTTTATTACTTTATTACTTTATTACTTTATTACTTTATTACTTTATTACTTTATTACTTTATTACTTTATTACTTTATTACTTTATTACTTTATTACTTTATTACTTTATTACTTTATTACTTTATTACTTTATTACTTTATTACTTTATTACTTTATTACTTTATTACTTTATTACTTTATTACTTTATTACTTTATTACTTTATTACTTTATTACTTTATTACTTTATTACTTTATTACTTTATTACTTTATTACTTTATTACTTTATTACTTTATTACTTTATTACTTTATTACTTTATTACTTTATTACTTTATTACTTTATTACTTTATTACTTTATTACTTTATTACTTTATTACTTTATTACTTTATTACTTTATTACTTTATTACTTTATTACTTTATTACTTTATTACTTTATTACTTTATTACTTTATTACTTTATTACTTTATTACTTTATTACTTTATTACTTTATTACTTTATTACTTTATTACTTTATTACTTTATTACTTTATTACTTTATTACTTTATTACTTTATTACTTTATTACTTTATTACTTTATTACTTTATTACTTTATTACTTTATTACTTTATTACTTTATTACTTTATTACTTTATTACTTTATTACTTTATTACTTTATTACTTTATTACTTTATTACTTTATTACTTTATTACTTTATTACTTTATTACTTTATTACTTTATTACTTTATTTATTTACAATATTTTTAGTCGCACCATTACCAGTGGCTTCTGGACAGTATACAACATTAAAACTTAAAAACATTAAAACATTAAAAAGACAGTATAAAATATCCTATATTAAAACAATTCTTAAAACATTAATATTAATAAGTCCTGCTGCTTTGAGGGCTTTGCTCAATTCTCTGTAAACTGGTGCTGATATTTGTACAGACCTTTGCTACCAACATAATCATTTCATTTGCTTGATATGCTAGGATTAATTAAAATATTAAATATTGATTCATTCATTCATACACACACGAATGAATTCACATATTCATCCCATCAGTAATCCAATTACTTCTGTGTACTATGAAGTGCAGTATACAATGCAAAAACTTTTCATATGGCATGAGTAGTTGAATGCTTAGGTTAATTTGTCGCTTTGCTTCCCAGGATCCAACTCCCAAGCTTATTTTCAGATCAAGGACTGGGGTACATCATTGGAGATGAGGGAACAAATCAGTTTGTGAGTTTATTTATGTATATACATTACATTTGTATATGTGTGCATACAAATGAATCATTCTTGCATGTCTGGTGCTTATGTATGCATATATAAATGTATATGAAGTGGATATAAAGTATATCATGTTGGTGTCTTAACCAGGAAGCCACAGCTGCATAGGCAGCTTCCTCTCCATCCAGTGAGAAAGCTGAAAATAAGAATCAGAGACATAAATGTAATATTCAAAATAAAAATAACATACCATTGCTGAGGCAAGAAAAAGTGTAACCACAGTTTTGATAGATTTTATTTTTCAAATCAGTTGTCTTCTAAGGACAAGGATTGGCGCAACACATTTTGCAGCCTGAGGCAAAGACAAAAGAGTTTCCCTTCCCATTCAACAGGCACTTGCTAACTGGACTGGCAACCGTGTTTTATTCCAGTACAGTACTGGCAATGGGGCATTCTTGTTTACTGACCAGAGGGCAGGAGGCAAGAGCTGGCAAACTAAAGTTCTTCACAAGCTTTAGCCTACTATCTATAAAAAGAAGTCATTTTAAGTAAGGAAGGTAGAGGAAATATGTTATTTTAGGGGAATATTAATGTAAGGTTGGAAGTATCTCCTAAAGCGAGCTAGTGAGGTATAGTTAAATAGTAGTAATAAGTCGAGAAAAGATTGAATAATAGAGGATTAGTTGATATAAGGAAGATAATTAAGCTAAGATTATAGCTGGAGAGTTACCCTAAAAGCTTTATTATTTTGATATATTTAGCTAATTTGATAGCTAGACCTAGATAGATTGGAAGGGTAGGTAAAAGATTAGGAAGAAGCAGGTATTTTCAATTCATGGGGCAAAAAAATGCTCTCTTAAAATCTGAAGGGCTCCATGTCTTCTGTTGTTTGATTCATGCCATGAGCAAAGGGGAGGTGGAGGCAAGATGTCTAATCAAAGGAAACAGTACCTTGCTTGTCCCACTCCTGCTCAAAAGCAGCTTCCCAGCACTCCTACTTGACATTCCTAGGTCCCTTTTCACAGACCTCTTCAACATCAGTGGGCCAGGCAACAAGAATCTTCCCACTGGCAGCTGGGCAATTATTCACACTTGCAAGCTGAGTTTGCTAATGTTGTACATCTCCAGTAAAAAGAATGCCTTTCAGTACTTGTTGCAAGGTATTTAAAGTCCAATTATTGACAAAATGTCAAGGCATCTTAGTAATAAAGCCCTGCTTGTGTATGTCTTTATGATTATACACATTAGATTTGTATAGGAGAAAAGCATGCAACTTTCTAAAGCATTCTTCAAAGTCACAGAATGGCATAGATATGGGAGCAAGCAGGGAGGAATTATTGGTTCTCATATTGATGTCAAAGGCAGCATTCAGCAGAACAGGAGCTCATGATATTTTTGCAGCAGTCATAAGCATATTCTGCACAACAGTCTCAATACCTAACAAGCTCTCTAACTGTTGCAAGGAGAGGTCCCCCCCCAAGCTAAAACATAACCTGGAGCTCACATAACATGACACCATAGAAATGCTTTCTTAAGGGAAGAAGTCTGAATCCCATCTGACAAAAAGAGTTTCAACACAATTAGACTACAGTTATTGAATAAAAGATGTTTGCATTGTTCGAAAAGGCCCCGTATCACAAGGAAGATAAACGGACCCTCTCTGTACAGACAATCACTATCCTCTTTGGAATTTGAGCAGGATTTGTAATTCTTCGATTGTGTTGCCTTTTCATTGAAAAAGAAGGTGAAAACTGTGAGTTTCACATGCCTGGTTTCATATTCCAGTATCCTTAAGTCCCAAGAATTCACTGTTCTGTAGGTACCACCGGGGAGAAGGGGGTGTGTGAGTCAGAGTAACCATGTTAAATCTCTTACAGGAAGAGGTAGAGGTGACTTATTTAACACTAGACTGTGCGCTCTGTACAGAAGGAGGAACTTAAGGTAGGTTTTCTTATAGACTGCCTCCACCCAGAGGAACCTTTCCATTCTTTGAAATCCTCAGCATCAGAAGCTCTGCTGTCTGGACTGCCTTCATGAAATTTATACTAGGCACCAGGAACCAGACCTTCTCAGCGGTGGCACCCATTGTGGACAACATTCTCCAGGAAGATCCACTATGCTTCTCCATGACTTCTGTTTTGTGTGTGTGTGTGCACGCGCGCACGCGTGTGTGTGCGTGTGTGCGTGCGCGTGTGTGCGTGTGTGCGTGTGTGCGATCCTTTGTTTTATTTGGGGTGGGTGATTTTTCTCTTGTAAACCACCTTGAAAAAAGATGTTTTTTAGAAGCAGGTATTTAAAAGAAACTTAAAATAAATGAGATAACGAAGAAAGAAATGGTGCAATTTCTCGTGTACAGCAGTATTGCTCAGTGCTTAAGTTTTCTTTACCTGATTTTTGCTCTTCATCCAAGCCTGGGTGGAAGTTCTGCCAAGGCAAGGAAGGATGAGGGTCCAGTTCATACTTCCCCATGCTTTCAATCAGTCTCTGAGGGGGGTCTGGACGATTCATAGTACAGACAGTGGGGAACAGGTAAGCTTTAGGGCCAGGGATCCCTTGCAGAGCTACGAAGAAAGATGCACTGGTTATCCACCCTTCTCCCTTTGGGCTTCAGAGTTCCCCTCTGTAAGTCAAGTGGTTGGCAGAAAAACTAGTAGCAACCCACGAATTTATCCCTGGCCCTAGTCAACAAATGTGGCAGAAGCAGAAAGAAATCTCCACTCTACCATTCAACAAAAGGCAAGTATTTCCTGCAGCAGGCTATCTTAGGGCTTATCTACATTTACATTTGCCCCACCATAAGCTCTGTTCTAAATGGGTTCGATTTAAAATCACACATCTATGGTATTTTAAAAAATTAAGGTTCCCAACCTCCTTCTCCTAGTCCAAAACTACACACACAGGAAAACCAGGTGGAATTCACAGCGGCTCCAATTCCGGTTGCAGCATAATCTGCAAGCCCTACTGCAATTTAAAAATGGCACCCAATCCACACTTTAAAAAAAAACATGATAGAGCTTGTGTCTAGTTTTTACGGGACACAGAGGAAGGGTTCGAAGAACCCATGAATGCTCTGGATCATCATCCCCCTGCCATTTGGAATTCTTGATTGGTCCTGGCAGAAGATTCTGGTCACTAACGATGGCACAACTAGGGCTAAGTAATTCCAAAAGAGAAGATGAAAGCAGGGAGCTTGGCACTGGGTTGCTTTGGCCTTTGAAAGCAACGACAGCGAAGATACCCCAGGAGAGCAGCTTCTGCCCTGACCCCTGCACTGTCAGGAGCTGGGAATCTTTCTAGCACTGGCTGGTTGGTGGTGCCCCTTTTTTAACGTGAGTAATAATGTTAAAACAGGACTTGTGTTATAAGTGGGTTCATGGCTGTTTGCAGCTAACCTACAGTGAATCTCTTTGCTGTGCAGTATTGCAAATGTTTGATTCCGGCCCTAAGAAAATCTGGTGCCCAAAGCCAGCTCCCTAGCATCGTATTTTCTGCTTCCCACTGTAGTTCTGCCTCTGTTGCTGCTGCTGTGCTTGCACACACTGTGATTTCTGCCTGGTGTTTTCTGCTCCAGAATTGTAGGAGAGCAGAGTGCACGGAAGAGAGCAGAAGCACTGTCTGCTCCAGAATTGTAGGAGAGCAGAGTGAAGAGAGGGGTGCACAGAAGAGAGCAGAAGCACCATGGCAGGTAGACTACCAGGAATAAAGCAGAAGCTCCCAATGTCTGTTGTTCAGGGCTAGGAGGAAATCTCAGAGCCCTCGTTCTGCAGAAGATAAAGGAAGGCCCAGCTTTCCCAAGATAAGCATCTGGGTTATGCTGAGTATCTACCGAGCTTGGGCAGCAGGAATAACACGGTACCTGCAAGATATTTCCCCCCCTCCCATAGGTCCACACACTGGACTGGGCTCTGTCTTCCAGAAGAGAGCATTGTTGCCTGACAAACAAAGAGGCATAGAGTCACGGGGCTGGCACCCAACTCTTGGTTGTGAGGAGCCGTGGCTCTCAGTCAAATATTGCTGGCAATTGTCATTGCAGGCAGGGAGTTACATGGCACTTCCTTTGCAGGCATACTACAAGGAAGCTATACCTCACCAGCGCAGTGGACTCTCACAGAGAAAAGCCAAAGTCTTGATATGGCAACTATCATAACAGTCATAGAGTTTGTCCTGGTATTGCTATAATTGGTGAAGCCCCGTCAAGACCAGCCCTGCCATTAGGCAGAGCGAGGCAGCCACCTCAGGCGGCAAAACTGGAGTGACATGAAATCAAGGAATTATTAGTTAGGTCACTGCTAGTTGCATTTTTACCTACTGGAATGGAGAGAAGTCCTTATGGGATTTTCTTTCCCAGTTACCAAGATGACATGGCTGGCTTTGGAGACAGACTATGTATTGCTTTGCTGCTTTGCTTCAGGCCACCACAGAACCTTTTGGGCCAGCTCCAAATACTGCACAACACATCCTGCATACGGTAACAGAAGTAGATAATGTCACTGCACTGCACAGCCTTAGCTAGCACTGCCAATGGGGAGGGATGATGGGAACTGCCTGCAGCCCTACCCACATTTCTTAGCCCCTTTTATCCTGTTTTCATCTTAGAAAAGCCTGCTTTCAGCTCTCGGCTCTCTGCCTGCTGAAGGAGGCAGCCCATTTTGGTTGCTGCTGTTGTTGTGCTAGGCCTTAGGTTGAGACCCCCTCACCCTACCCTGGCATCTTGTCACTACTTGTTTTCTTACCTGCTGCAGGTGAGCCATTCAGGGCAATATCTCAAGGTCACATCCACATGTTCTTTGCAGGCAAACGGTCAAGAAATGGTACACAATATGTCCTTTATACACAAGATAGGAGCAAAGTCTAAAGAGGCTTATGATGCACCTCACATCTACTCCACGCCACCTTCTTCCCTACAAATTCCTCTAGTTAATTGCTAACTTCTACAGCACTTTGTTCTTACAGAGTTTTGAATTTCTGGTAAAATTCCTTCTTGTTACACAGTAGAAGTACCAAAACTCACAGAGGAGAATAGTTACAGGTTCCCCAGAGTCCGCCCCTTTCTCATTAGCTAGCACTTAAAGTCTGAGACATTAATAGGAGAAACAAAAAGAAAATACTTCTTTACTTAGAGTTATGAACAGATCAACCATAAACAAACACTGATTTCCAGCAGACTAAAGAGAGGGAAAGAGAAGCACTCAGCAGCTAGAGGCAGGGCTCTCTTTGATTTCAGAGGGGGGAGGAAATTACTGGTTACTGCTGGATAGTTTGACAATCACCCCAGCTCAGAAAAATCCCTCCCAGTCACAGGCAGTATATGAGGCTGTAAAACTCCAAGACACATGTCATTGTGTATCAGATCCAGCATTCAGGTGCTTCTCTCAGTTCTTGGCAGGAGGGCTTAACACCTTTTTCCATGATACAGCTTATGTTTGGTTGCATCATCTGGATTTATCTTGATACTCGCAGCAGATTTTTAGTTTTGGATCTCTAGAATTACTTTTGACCCCTTC